AACTCCCCATCCTCCCCTCCCTTCTGCCCCAGAAACTACTCTTTCACTTTCTGTCTCTATGATTTTGACTATCTAAGTACCATATGTAAGTGGAATCACACGATATAGTAAGGTAGTATTTGTCCTTATGTGGCTGGCTTATTTCACTTACATAATGACCTTAAGGTTCAGCCATGCTGTAGCACATCAGGATTTCCCTCCATTTTTTTTTTTGGCAGTACAGGAGTGCTTTACAACTGAGCTACATACCCAGCCTTTTTATTTTTTATTCTGAGACAAAGCTCTCTAAGTTGTTGAGGCTGGCCTTGAGCTTGCAATCCTTCTGCTTCAGCCTCCAAATAGCTAGGCAAAGTGGTTGATTAGAGCTTGGGCAGGGAACAGGCAAGATCAGTGTGGAGCATCTGTGGCAACGAGGTCAGGAAGTGTGCCAAGAAGGTAAGGGTCTGGGGAGAGGGTTCACTTGGAAGAAGCCCCTAGATCAAAGCTGGAAAAATAGGAACAACAAAATAAATAAATAACAACAGGATAAAAGAAATAGCTGATAGCCACACTGATAACGAATGAGGGAGAGGAAGAGCTCTTCTTAGAGAATAATTCTAATTAAGTAATATAGAACTAAGGCCAGCAGTTGGGAATATAGCTCAGTGATAGGGTACTCTCCCAGTGTGCATGAGGTCTTGGGTTTGAACCCCAGCTCCCCAAAAGCCCCAAAGTAAATAGATGGGGAGATTACATTGCCTTGGATGGACCAATTTAATGATTAAGAAATCAACTCTCCTGGGGTTGTGGCTCAGTGGTAGAGCACTTGCCTAGCATGCATGAGGCACTGGGTTCAGTCCTCAGCACCACATAAATATAAAATAAAGATATTGTGTTCACCTAAAACTAAAAAATAAAAATTTTTTTTAAAAGAAACCAACTCTCACAAAATTAGTAAACTAATGGAGTATAATCTCAATAAAAATTCCAATTGCTTTTAAATTTTTTGAGATGAAATTCACATTATATCAAATTCAATTTTGTGATTTTATTTTATTTTTCTTATATATATATATTTTTAGTTTTTGATGGACCTTGATTTTATTTATTTATATGTGGTGCTGAGAATCGAACCCAGTGCCTCACACATGCCAGGCAAGCACTCTACCACTGAGCTACAGCCCCAGCCCCTCAATTTTGTCATTTTAAAGTGTACATTTTGGTTTTTAGTAGTCACAAAGTCACACAACTATCACCACAATCTCATCCAAAATGTTTCCATTTTCTCAATTCCTCTGTCCTCTCATCCAGTTGGAATCCTTTTTTTTAAGAGAGGGTGGGGAATTGAATCCAGGGTGTTTAACCACTGAGGAATATCTACAGTTCTTTTCATTTTCTATTTTGAGAAAGAGTCTCACTAAATTGCTTAGGGGTCTCACTAAGTTGCTGAGGCTGGCTTGGCATTTGTGATCCTTCAGCCAGGTGTGGTGGCACACGACTGTAATCCTAGTGGCTTGGGAAGGATCCTGAGTTCAAAGCCAGCCTCAGGAATTTAGTGAGACCCTAAGAAACTCAGAGAGACCCTGTCTCTAAATAAAGTATAAAAAAAGGGGGCTGGGATTGTGGCTCAGTGGCAGAGCACTTGCCGAATACATTTGAGGCACTGGGTTCCATACTCAGCACCACATGAAAATAAATAAAATGAAGGTATTGTGTCCATCTACAATTAAAAAAAATTTTTTTTAAATATAAAAAAGGGCTGGGGGTGTTGCTCACCATTGAACCAGGGGTAGTTAAGCACCCCTGGTTCAATCCCTAGTACCATAACTAACTAAATAAGTAACTAACTAACTAAATAAATAAATAAATAGAATTTGCAATCCTCCTGCCTCAGCTTCCTGAGATGCTGGGATTACAGGTGTGCACCACCTCACTTGGCTCCATTTGAAATCTTTAAGATTTTAAACCTACTCTAAAATGTAGAGTACATCTATGAAGTAGTCTTGCCTGAAAAAAATGGAATCTGAGCTGAGCACGGTGGCACACCCCTGTAATCCCAGCAGTTTGCAAGGCTGAGACAGGAAGATCACAAGTTCAAAGTCAGTCTCAGCAATGGTGAGGCGCTAAGCAACTCAGTGCGACTCTGTCTCTAAATAAAATATAAAATAGGACTGGGGATGTGGCTCAGTGGTTGAGTGCCCCTGAGTTCAATCTCCAGTACCCCCCCCCAAAAAAAAAAAAAGAAGAAGAAGAAGAAGAAGAATCTAATCCTTTACATTTGTTTTAACACAGTAGTCATTCAATATTAAAATTAATGAACATGAAATAAAATTGAAAATTCAGTTACACTAGAATTTCAAGTGTTGATACCACATGTGGTTTCCATGCAGAAAGCACAGATATAAAACATGTTTATCAGCACAGAAGATTGAATGATAGGGCTGGGGATGTGGCTGGGCTGGGGATGTGGCTCAAGCGGTAGCACGCTCGCCTGCCATGCGTGCGGCCCGGGTTCGATCCTCAGCACCACATACCAACAAAGATGTTGTGTCCGCCGAGAACTAACTAACTAACTAAATAAATAAATATTAAAAAAATTCTTTCTCTCTCTCACTCTCCTCTCTCACTCTCTCAAAAAAAAAAAAAAAGATTGAATGATAGGGCAGCATCACAGCTTTATCTAACCATTTCCAAGAAATATAGAAATTTAAGAAATCTATTAAATACTACCACAAGGATATACTAATCCAAATACAGAATGTAGAAATTTCTTTTTTTAAATATATATAGTTTATTTAATAAATAAATGTAGTTCAAAATATAGTGGCAGGGTATTATGCAGTTGAACATGCTAGTAATATTTGTTATGAAGCACCCGTGCTCATGTTAGATTGGTGGCACCCCACTATTGCCAGTGGTTCCTGGGATTAGTGCCAGAGCAGCACTAATTATCTGCTCTTCTGCACAGCAAGTGCAGAAAATTCTTGAACAGTTCACCTTCCTAATCCTACCTTCCCCAACATATACATCAGGTTAAAAAAAACAAAACCCTGATTGCTAACAGATACCTATACACAATCACTCTACAGTTATGGCTTATTATTAAATTAAAATGTAATGACCTGGTTAACACTCTCTAAAGCTTCTAAGATTGAGAACTACATCAGCAGCCGGTAGTTATATGCATGAACCAATGTTTATACAATATAGAAGTAGAGGCATTCAGTGATTGAAACTCCACACAGACCTGCACAATGAGGGGCCAGCGATGCCATGGCAAGCCTCACAATTCAAGTCCATACCTGGTAAATGACCAGCTGAATGGACAACCTGTAGAATGTGGAAATTAAAAAAATTGTTTTTGTATTTTTAGTTGTTGATGGACCTTTATTTTATTTATTTATATGCAGTGTCGAGATTTGAACCCAGGGTCTCACACATGCCCGGCAAATGCTCTACCACTGAGCCACAACCCCAGCCCCCGAATGTGGAGATTTTTATGAAACAAATGGCCCAGTTTTAAAAACAAGTAAATGGCATGAAAAAAAGGGAGAGGGAGAAATAGTTGTAGATTTAAAAAGATTTGAGAAAAATGAGTGCTCAGTGGTAGAGTGCTTGTCCAGCTTGCTTGAGGCCTTGGGTTCCATCCCTAGCACTGAAAAAAAAAAAAAAAGATTTGAGACAAATGAATTGAATGCACTGTGTGGACTTCCACGGAATCTTGACTTTGAATTAACTGTGAAAGAGACATTTTTTGAGACAAATCAGTTAAACAGCACATTCAAGTTATAAGTATGAACTTATGCCTTGAACAAAAACCTTGGTAGTCCATCATTTTGTCAGAGTGCCTACAATAGGCCCCAACTGAGCAGACCAAATCAAAATGGAGTCACTCATACTAAATGCCAGAGAATCAGATTGAAAGTTTAAGGAGGTAGACAGATCCCCAATAGATTCCAGTTTACTTGAATCAGCACAAGAAAGAAGTCCCCTCTGCTTTAACCTTTACCAAAAAAGAACCTGATATTAACCAATTCAGCTTTTTATTTATTTTTTTCTTGTTCTCATGTGACAAAAACCAATGTTCTGCCTTGGCCCCAGTTCTATCCTATACAACTGGAGGCTGCTTAGTTCATGAATAGAAAACAAAAGCCAATTAGATCCAGAACTAAATTGTTATAATTCTGTCTTTTGACAAACTTGTCCATATGTGGTCAGGGAGAGAACTCAACTAAAAAGAGGAAAGAGTTTATATTTCTGACTCAAAGGAATAAAAACAAAGCTGTAGCTTTATCTCAGTGACGTTGGGATTTGCTGTGGGAGAGCAGAGCTTCAGAGCACAGGTAGCCACCCTATACCAACGAGGTCCTGGGCTCTGCCAGGGTGGAGGCAGGGCATTGGGAGTAAAAGGCCTGTGAAGTCTTCAACTTCCTGGCCGTGTGCTGCCGTTCCTCAGATCTCCTCTTCCAGGGAGTCTCCCTGGCAAGCCCTATTGCCCTGCCCCATTCCATTCCCGAAGGGCCTTCCTGGTCTTCCCTTTGCACAGCCCTGAAGGCAGCCCACTCTGGGACACTGGTGCTGAGACTTGCAGGGTAGGGAAGAGGTTGCCAGGCAGAGTCAGGAGATGGTTCCTGGCAGAGGGCACAGTATGGGCCAGGGCTCTGAGCCCAGCTGGAGCTGGGGTGAACTGGAACAGAAAGGGAAACTGGAGCCTAGAGGTCAAAGAGGAGGTTGGAAGAAAGTATAGATGAAAGATCAGCAGGAGCAATAGAACCTTAAGGCCTCTACAAGGAGTTTGTGTTTGCAGTGCCACAGGAAGCCATTGCAGACTTTTAAGGCAAAGGAGTGGCTACTGTCCCTGTTTCCCAGTGCATATGGTAAGCCCCACCTGTCTTTCAGAAGTGTTGACCCTATTACTCACACACATCCTTGATCTGGCAAAGTCTTCAGGGGCCACCTTAAGTCCACTCCACCTTAAACAGGCTCCACCCCCCAGCACAGCCAATGGGCTGAGTAGGGGTGACCAGCTGCCACCTGCCCTCACCCCCATGGTGCTCAAACTGATTGCAGTTCCAGCTATGGCCTCACTGCTCCGGGCTGCAGCCCCGGGACTCTTCTCCTGGAGGGGGTACTGCTCCAGAGGGTCGCAGGTTGGTGGGGCCAGGAGCTGGGAGGGATCCTTGCCTAAAGTATCCCAAGCTCTGTGCTGCCATCGGGCACCCTCACTAGTCCACGCCCCTCCCTCCTGCCCTGGGGGAGGGAGAGGGTGTGGTGGCCCCCAGTTCTCTTTCTGGCGCCTCTGGCACTGTGATTCTTCCCTGAAGGGCGAGCTCAGCAAGGGCTTCGTGGAGTCTCTAAAGGCTATTGTGGGGAGCCCCCACGTGTCCACTGCTGCTGCTGTTCGAGAGCATCACGGGCAGGATGAGTCCATACACAGGTATTGGGAACCCTGGCTAGGAATGGGATCCCTGGTCGTCCTCGTCCCCACTCACCTGTTTTGGTGTGCCGTGGTACTCTCTATGGAGGGCTGCTCTCTGCCTCTTGTTTGCTGTGTGGCCTCAGGCCTTGTGACATCTCCAGGCTCTTTGAGAAGGGGGCCACAGGGTGCCACTAGCTTCTCACCCGCTGAGGCCTGTTTCTAGGTGTCAACCTCCAGATGCGGTGGTGTGGCCCCAGAATGTGGACCAGGTCAGCCGGCTGGCAGCTCTCTGCTATGGCCAAGGTGTGCCCATCATCCCCTTCGGCACAGGCACCGGTGTCGAGGGGGGAGTCTGCGCTGTGCAGGTATAGCAGGTGCCTCAGGTCTACTTCACCACACTGGGCATGTTTGTGGCCATTCCTACATGCCATTCTGGGACTCTGGTCTGGCTGCTGGGGTTCAGCCGTGGGGTAGAGTCCTGGGGCCTGTGCCCAGCACAGAGACTTAGGTCAGTTGGCCTTCTTTGCACCCCTGCTCCAGGGTGGTGTGTGCATTAATCTGACCCACATGGACCGGATCACGGAACTGAACACAGAAGACTTCTCTGTGGTAGTGGAGCCTGGTGTCACCCGTAAAGCTCTCAATGCCCACCTGCGCAACAGTGGCCTCTGGTTTACTGTGGGTAAGCTTGGGGCTCCTGCACCTTTCCCAGGGTCCTGGGGGCTTGCAGGGGGCTGGGCTGTTTATGGGGCTTCAGAGGACCCTGCTCTCCCCACCTGCCCAGGGTGGGGGAAAGGGCCTTCGGCCTGCCCTCTCCTGCTTTCTGCCCTCCAGACCCAGGTGCAGACGCCTCTATCTGTGGCATGGTGGCCACTGGGGCTTCAGGCACCAACTCTGTGCGCTATGGCACCATTCGGGACAATGTGGTCAATCTGGAGGTGGTGTTGCCTGATGGGCGGCTGCTTCACACTGCGGGCCAGGGCCGTTATTTCAGGTGAATGTCCTCTGCCCTTGGCCTGAGGCTTCAGTGAGTGCTGACAGGGCCTCTAGAAGCCCTCCTGGATCAATGAGTGGCTAGAGAGGGCTGTCATGTGGGCCAGCAGATGGCCAGCATGCTGGGGTTTGCTCTCCTGCATAAGGCTGACAGAGGTTGAGCAGTGGCAAGTACTGTAATGGGAACTGGGGATGCGGAAGGCCAGCCCAGACTTGGGGGCCTAAGGGATAGTGTCCTGGGCCCCACCTTCAGATTTCTGGGCAGAAATCCCTCATTGCACGGTCTGAACACTCATCTACCTTATGTGTTCCTTATGTGTCTGGACACTCACCTACCTTATGGGGCCCAGGAAGAGTGCAGCTGGCTACAACCTCACAGGACTCTTTGTGGGCTCTGAGGGGACACTGGGCCTCATCACATCTGCCACCCTGCGCTTGCACCCTGTCCCCGAAGCCACAGTGGCTGCCACCTGTGCATTCCCCAGTGTCCAGGCGGCAGTGGACAGCACTGTACAGATCCTCCAAGCTGCAGTGCCTGTGGCCCGCATTGGTGAGCCAAGGACTGGTGCAGTTGGGGTGGGCTGCACAGAAGAGGCCCCCTTGGAAGGCCAAGCCTCACTGGGCATCCCTCTTCCTGGTCCCAGAGTTCTTAGATGACGTCACAATGGACGCCTGCAATAGGCATAGCAAGCTGAGCTGCGCCGTGGCGCCCACACTCTTCCTTGAGTTCCACGGTTCCGAGCAGGCACTGGCAGAGCAGGTGCAGCACACAGGTGTGTTGAGGGTGGGATAGCAGAGCCTGGCTACCCCAGTGTAGGGCCTGGGTCAACTTTTCCCTACTGCAGAGGCGATCACCCAGCAGAATGGAGCCTCTCACTTCTCCTGGGCCAAAGAGAGTGAAGAGCGCAACCAGCTTTGGGCAGCCCGGCACAATGCTTGGTATGCACTCCTAGCCCTGTCTCCAGGCTGCAAGGTGAGCTGGGATGGGGATGGAGGTGGAATCCACTGTTCATCCCACAAATCCTTCCCTCAACCCACTATCAGACTGTTTGAAACAGTAGGCTCAAGTGGCTTGGGGGGGCACTAGAAGCTGGGGTTATAGACCCTCTCGCCAAACTGTTTCTCAGAGGCTGTCTAGTGTCCAATCACACTAGGGAGCCCTTCCTGCAACCATGCATGCTCTTGGGAGTTTTGAACAGAGGGAAGATCTACCCAGAAGTGGAAGCTGGGCTCTAGGCAGAGCAAGCAGAGGCTCAGTAGTGCAGGGGAAAAGGGGACCTACACAAAGCCAAGGGTGGAAAACCAGGGCAGTGGTGAAGGTCTGGGCTGGCAAGACCTGGGGAATACAATCTGGTACAACTGTCTAGAGAAGAGCAAGCCACTTCCTTCTGTGAGGCCAAGAGCTGAAGTCAAATCCCCTCAGACTTGATAATAGTGACCCTTAGCTTTAGGCAGACAGATGGGGAGGGGAGAGCCTCACCAGTCTGCCCTCTGACCCAGGGCTATGCCACTGACGTGTGTGTGCCCATCTCCCGGTTGCCGGAGATCCTGGTGCAGACCAAGGAGGAACTGAAGACCTCGGGACTTAAAGGTTCTGCCTACTCACCTGGAGTGAGGTGGGGAAGCACTGAGGCCCACCAGTGCCTGGGCCAAGGGCAGGGGAGGCTGGAGGCAACAGCTTAGTCCTCTGGGTCCACAGGAGGCATTGTTGGGCATGTGGGTGATGGCAATTTCCACTGCATCTTGATGGTCAACCCAGATGATGAGGAGGAGCACCACAGGGTCAGAGCCTTCACAAAAAAGCTGGGCAGGTAAGAGCTGAACCTGAGATGGGCTGGGTGGGGGAGGGCAGAGGAAGTGAGAGAGGAGTCCACTGAGGTATTCCTTCTCATGATATCCCAGGCAGGCACTGGCACTCCATGGGACGTGTACTGGGGAGCATGGCATTGGGCTGGGCAAGCGGCAGCTACTGCAGGAGGAGATTGGTGCTGTCGGCATGGAGACCATGCGGCAGCTCAAGGTCATGCTGGACCCACGGAACCTCATGAACCCAGGCAAGGTGCTGTGAGGAGCTCTGAATACTTGGCTACCCTGCAAAGGATGGACAATGCAGATGCTGTTTCTGCCTGCCAGTTAGCCCTCTGTAGCTGGGGCCTAGAGTTCAAGCCAGGAGAGAAGCCGGGTTCCCTCCCTGGCTCTCTTGCTGTCTTCAAAAGCCTTTGGTCCAGTAAATGACCCAGCGTGGGTCCTGGTGAAGCTGCTTTCTATCTGATCTCACATACCCTGTACTGGCTGGGGGAGATGGTGTGGGGCCCACCCCAAGACTAAGATCATATCCCTGTCAAGGTCTCCCCACTGCTGACGCCCAGGACCCTTTATCAACCCTTCATCTACTTGGGTTGATAGGCATGCTCCTTTCCTGAAAGGGGAGGGGCCTGCCAAATGAATCTGAACCCCATTTATAGCTGTCTGGAGATCAGCAGGCAACACTTCCCATATACACCCTCTCTTCCTCTAGATAGTGAGCCATTTGTCTGGGGCCTGTCTTCCGATTTATGGAACCCTGGGGAAAAGGATGGTGCTCAGACTTTGGAAGGAAGCAGGTCCCTGTTCCAACTTCTCTGCTTCTGAGAACCTTGGGCCTACCCACAGTGGAGGTCCCACTAGGCTCCAGCTGAGCCTTAGAACTCTGAACACATTCTTCAAGCAGCTGCTACCAATTGTTGGAAATGGGAGTGAGATTATCATTGCACCACACTGCTCCATGGTATATACTCCAAATCAAGGTCATCCTACCCTGAGGCCTGCCTGTCTTGGGATTCCTAGCCAGGGCCCCTAAGGTCCTTAGCAGTTGTTCTCCCAAAGCCCACTAGAGGGTGCCCGACACCAGTAAACTCAAGACACCACAGCAGCTGTGGCCCAGGACTCTTCTGTCCTGGGCCTGAAACTTTTAGCCCTGGGCCACCCACCTCCCAGGGCTGTGGAGCGACCTAGCAGGCAATCTGTAAACCCTCCATTCACTGTAGGTCCCAGGAACCTGTAGTGCCACTTATCTCCCTCACTCCCAGGTCTTTGGCCCTCTGTAGCAAAGGGGCTGGGTGAGGGATGCTGGGAGCCAGTGCAGGGAAACAGCACCCTTCTGCTCACATCATGCTTTTCCCTCAACCCTCTCAGTCCCTAACCAACCCTTCCATGGGGGGCGGGGGGCACTCTGTAACTCCCTCTTGCCCACCCTCCATTCTTGGGATCCCTACTTTGTGCTAACACTGGGCTGTAGCAGACAGCAGTAACACTGACCTGGGTTTGAGGACACACTGGCGTTTCTGTTTCTGGCTGGGAACAGAGATTATGCCAAGGATGGTTTGGTGGCAAGTCCCCTGGGCCCTCCCCCGACACCACCCAGTATGCAAGCAATCCAACCATCAGCCACCATGCTCACCATGGAAACAGCTCCCCAGCCCTTCCCCCTCCCCTTCTGAACAGACTGCAGGGCCCTCCCACAGCCCTCCCAGGTGTTGTGCAGTGGCCAGTCTTGGCTGCAGCTCTTTGATGTTGCCCCCTGGGTCTGGTGACTAGAAGGCGCACAGCAAATGGCCAATTCCCCACAATTTTTTATTAAGAAAAATTCCAGACATACAGAAGAGTCGAAAGAACAAGTACACTGTTCAGTGATGAAATACCAGCCATTGAGGATTCAACAACAGACATTTTTGCCTTATTTTTTTTTGCGGGGGGAACCATTTGGAATTACACATTTCTGAAAAAATCATTCATCTGTATATAATTCAGCATCTACTTCCTAAGAATAAGGACATCCTCCTGTAAAGTTCAATACTATTAAAGGCTGTTAAGATGAAAGGTTTTCACAAGGGGCTCCTCTTTAGAAGCTGCCCCTTCCCACAAGCATGCTGGGTCCCCAGCAGAGAAGGGGCAATACAGGCTTCTGGAGAGCAGTCTGGACAGGAGGGTGACAAACACCAGCTCCACTTGGGAAGCCCGACAACTTCAGTCCCACCTCCACACCAGATGCTGGCAACCTGGGTCTGAATTCAGAGCACTGTGCAGCCAGCAGAGGGCTGCAGTGTGCCAGGTGGAGCGGAAGTCACTGGGGGTGGAGATGAGCACCAGCCCTGAGAGCCTGGAATAGTACCGGCGTGGGCCCCAGCCTTGCCCCACCCAATTCACAACCACTCAGCACACATGGGGTGCTGCCAAAGCAGCCAGGCTCACACAGCCATGGTGGGCACACAAAGCTTCCATCTCCAAGTCCAAGGGTCAAGCAAGGAGATTTCCTTCAGGGCTAGGCCCTGCCCTGGCAGCTTTGCTGGTGGAATTAAATATAGAACAGGGAGACACAGTTGCCAGGCAGAGCAGGAGGTGCTGTGAATAGAACAGTGCCCTTTGCAGTGACAAAGTTATAAGGAAGCCTGCTGTGCATGTGCCAGGCCTTCAGGGTAGATCTCCTGACCCTCATGGCGACCTCAGAACTGCGTGATTTTTGTCCCCACTTCATACAAGGGAATTTGAAGTTTGGATGAATGGTGTCATTTCCCCAAGACCATTTTGCCAACTGGTAGAGAGCTCAAATGAGGACAGCCCATGTTATGGCCATCAACTCCCACCCAAAGTGATTCCAATACGGACATCCAGGCTACAAATCAAACTCTTTTTCAGTTCTGAGCATGCCCACTGGCCTGCAATAAATATCCTTACAGAGTGGGTGCTTCAGGAAGCATCTGAGGGCAGATGACTTCAGCTGGGCCCTGGTACCAGCGCAGTCCAGGCTCCTGGGCCTGGTGGGGTTAGGCCCTGAGCAACAGCACAAGGGCAAGCCTGGGAAGGAACAGGGCACAGAAGGTTCGGAATCGGCTCTCTCTAGAGCTTTCCTTGGCTGGCTCTTCAGGAAGCCCTGGAATGCAGCTGCTGGAGCCTGGCACAAAGACAGAGGCTGGGCATGCACTGCTGCCCCCTGCCCTGAGGTCCTGCCCAGCCTGTAATTTGCCAACTTTTGTGAGCCTGAGTGGTTGGTTCTGGTTCAAGGGCTCTAAGCTGGCTCAGTCCCAAATCAGGGCCTCTTCCTGGGCCTCAATGAAGCATGCCCATGAGTCAGCACTAAGATGTGGATAGAGCAACAGGCAAGCAGAACATGGGACTGGGAGCAGGTGCTGTGATGGAGGGGCTGGGGTAGTACCTGGAGTAACTCACATCCTTACAGACTCCAGTGGCTGTAAGATCTTTGCCCCTGCAGATCTTTCCAGAAAAGTTTGGTTATAACCACTCCATTCCACAGATGACGGCAGATTGGTTCCACGATGCTTACAAGGGTTAGCAGACTTGTAGGATGCACACCTGAATCACCACTTCCCCTCTACCCAGGTACAGCTGTCTGAGAACCATGGCACATCCACAGTGCTGAACAGTCGGCTGAAGGAACACTAAGGAGGTGGGTGAGGGGTGGGGTAGGCCTTGGCCCTCACTTCTTTATTGTATAACAATACTTCATTAAAATAACATCACACAGTTTATCTTTTATTAGACATTATTTTAATACCATATCAAACACCTTGACTGATGAAGAAAGTTTTTCTCCCAAGCTTTGAACATTTTTAAACATTTTATAAGTTTTTTTTTTTAAATATATAAATACAGAAACCTATCTTGCATGGGCTGATGCCATGTGTGAACATCAATGGCTAAATGTTCTCAGAGTGCCTGAAAACAGGGGTAGCGGGACATGTTTATTTAGTTTTTTGTTTATTTAGTTTTCTGGGGGAAAAAACCCACAAGGGCCTAAGAAAAATGTTCAGGCATTTTTGCAGGACACTTGTGGTTGTTAAATCCTCTGAACTGACCAGAACCAGGAGGAAAGAAGGGGGAAGACATGGGAGAAGAGGTGGAAAAAAGTCCTTGATGGGTGTATTTTTTTTTTTTTTGCCAGGGGGTGGGGGGCAATGAAACCAAGATATTAGGGTCCCTTGGGGAGAAAAGTGCAAAACCAAGCCAGAAAAATGGGAGGGAGAAACAAAACAAAAGCAACCTAACCCCTAGATAGAGGCTGGTGACACGGAGAGCTGACTGGGTGCTGGGTGAAGGAAGAGAAGGTGTGTGCCAGCCCGCCGTCAGAGCATTAGTGGCAAGGACGTGGCCACATTTGGTTCTGTCGCTGAGTGGGTTATAGCTAATCTGTAAACATCACGAGGGAAAACACCAGTCGACACTAGACTTTTTTTTTTTATATATAATTTTTTTTTTTTGTAAACACTTTAAAGACAGACCCACAATGCCTTTCAAAGGTGAAAAAGAAAATGCCCTTTCCCTCCTGGGCTGAGGGGGGAGGGGAAGGATAGCTGTGATTTCACTCTTCTCTCCAACTCGCTCTCATCCAATCTGGTGTCCTCAGGGAAGAGGGAGAACCGTTTTCTGGAAGTCAGTGCAGAAGAGGTGCCCTGTTCCCACTGGTGTCCCAAACTCAGCTCTGCCCCAGTGTCCGATGAGCCTCCTCTCAGGAACAGGGCTGTCTGTCCCTGTGTGGATCGGAGTAAGTCAGCCGTGCTCCGTCTGGCTGAGGGCTGGCTGCTGCATCCCACAGTGGCAGCAGGTGTCCTGCTGAGAGCAGGCTGGCCAGGGTGTCTGTGGTTCCATCCAGGTGGGCCCCCCCGAAGCCAAACATCATGCCGGGAATTTGGACCCACGCCGCAGGGCCAGGCACCACTCCCTCTGCCTCACTCTCACCCTTGCTTTTTCTTCTCCCCTTGCCATCAGTTTTGAGGTGAAGGTAAAAGAGCAAATGTCCCTGATTTGTCTGACATCATCAGCTGTTCTGGGCATTTACTTGGAATAAATAAAATAAACCTAACAAAAGAAAACAAAACAAAGGAGAGAGAGAGAAGAAAGAAAAGAGGCCCCCAACCTTTGGATATGAGTGAGATGAAGTAGAGTTGAGTGTTTTTTTCTGGGGATTTTGTCTATTTGTTTGCCAGAAAAAAGAAAGTGCCAGCCCAGAACTCAGAAGGGACAGTGGGGTGGGGGAGAGAAGAGGGTGTCAACATGAAGCTGGGTGCCCTGGGGAAGAAATGGAGAGGACAGACTCAATGGTTACACTGGGAGACACATGTGCACACATGGGAGGGAGATGAGGGGCTAGCCTGTTGCAATGAGGACCCTGTGCTGTGGGACAGAGGGGCCAAGTCTCTGGAAGTGGGTGAGGGAGGTGGCCTGCAAGTGGAAAAACCAGTAGTGAAATGCCCACTGAAAGCGCTCTGCAGTGGACTATGCGCTGTCCACAGGCTGTCTAACTCTGCATGTCCATAAGGCCACAGGGAGTCATTCTTCCCATCACCAAAGAAGTGGAGACACAGGTGAGTGAGGACAAGGTGCCACCGGCTGCAAACCCGAGCTTATCCACTTCTGCCTGAGTATGTTCCCAGAGGATCTTTCAGAACTTTCCTCAGGGAGATTCACCCTGGACATCCGGAATATGCTAATCTTTCCCCAACTAATTCTACCTCTTCTGAGTATGTTCTTCATGAACATGTGCACCTGAGTGTGCATCCTTTGTTTCTTAGAAAAAATCTCTTCCATTTCCATTAACTACTTACAGATGAAGCACCTCAGTTCCCCCACCACCAGGCCCCCCGTGACACAACCCTGAGCCTGGAGCACCTCCAAGCACGGGCTCACCTTTGAGAGGATTCGGCAAGCAAGCCCGACAGGGTCAGTCCGCAGGGTGTTCTGGACAAGATCTGTTCACTTCAAACCACGAGTCTATGCAGCTGAGGACAGTGGGGGAGGGAGGAACAGCAAGGAGAAACCATGTTAGCTGTTAAAACACACAGTCTTGGCAGAGGTGGCTCTTTCAGGGGTCAGACTACTAAACAAAGGTTCCCTAAATCTCTCCTGGAAGAACCCCAGGAAAAAAATCATGTACCCGCTGCTTAAAGCAAGACATCAGGATTGGTTTTGGTTCAGCAGTGTTGGCAGTGGTGTGCAGGCTCAGGGAGACCTGGCGTTATAGGAAGACCTGGCGTTATAGGAAGGGAGGGGACCAAGGCCAAATGAAGGGGCAGAGGAAGATAGCAATAGCTACTGGTGAAAAGGTGAAGGGGGGGTGCAGGGATTGTGCGGGGTGGCTAGTCAACTACCTCTAAGGCTTGAGGTGCAGGGAGTAGGAATAAAGACATGGCAGGACTGGGAAGTGCTCCTGCTTCTGGGGTCCTGATAGAGCACCCTCCTGGATTTAAGGAGCCGTGAGGCTCTTCCTCAGTGGATACCTTCTCAGAAGACTCCCGAGATCTACCTGATTTGGTTGCAAAGGTGGAAAGAGGATCTGGACCCTCAGGCTATGGTGACTAAGAAAGTGAGCCAGGGAGGGGGCTTTTAGTTTACAAAGAACAACTGCCCCAAGACAGGGTCCCGATTTGTAAACCAACCTGGGTTTTCTCAAAGACAGAAACCAGATGGATAATGTGCACAAGACTCCCCCAGGACAGGGGTTGTCTTTTCTGGTTCTGGTTAGTTCCTCCCTGGGACACTGCAGGGCTCTGTGCTGAGACCCAGACCATGAATCATAATTATCCCCTAGGCCAATCATAAGCCTCTGCATCAGTCACATCCACGTATCAGGCATAGTGGTCACACTAGACTAGTGGCCCCAGGCTGGGCTTAGAGAAGCCTGTGTGCCAAGAAGCAGCTCTGGGTTTGAGGAGTAGAGAGCAGGTGGTGGCCACAGGAACACAGGGCATCCTCTCTTCTTGGGCAAGAAGGTATCCTTTTTCCACTTGGAAACAAGAATAAGGCTCCTGCTGAAGCCTGAGGATGAATCTTGGCCCTGCTAATTATAGCAGCTGTTGGTGCCCACAGATTGGTTCCCATGGCTGTGGCTCTTTCTGCCTCCTGGCCCTCTGGGGAGAAGGGCAAGCACAGGGCAGCAAGGACACCCTCCATGCTGCCTCTCTCACCCTGTGGTATAGAGAGGTCTACACAGAAAGAAGAGGCTCAGGGAGACAGATGAGAGTCAAGTTCTAGGTAGGATCCTAAGTACCTCCAACCTGTGCAGTTCCCTACCTGCTCCCACCATCTGAGCCATTAAAACAGAGCTGAACCTCAGGCAATTCTAGTCTTTTGTATCCCTATAACCTTCCCATTAACACAGTGACACTGGAGGGGTCCTTGGTGGGAGGAGATATCCCACAAAGGGGACAGACAGAATGGCTGGTGATGAGGGTCTGCTTGGTGGGATGTGGGGCATGCTGAGCTGCTCCTGCCGGGCCCTTGTACCTTTTATGATAGATGCACAGGCAGGGCAGCCTGGCTATCGTGTCCCCCTGAAGCAGCTCCTCCAGGCAGATCACACACTCACCCGCATCTTTAGTCAGCACATCATCTGCAAGGGGGACAGGAAGGGCAAAGGGTTAGTCACCAGTGGGTGGGTTGCACAAAGCAACTAGCTGGGTGGTCTAGCAACTAGCCCGGTAACCCAAACTGCCAGGCTCTGTGGGTACACAAACTTGAGCAGCAGAACCCTGACATCGAGACCCTCACTATGGAGACAAAACATGTCCACATGTTAAATATCTGAAAACAAACAGGAGTTAATCCTAAAGTGAAATTAACCTAAGGTCCAGGAGGACCCAATAAATAAACAAACAAATAAATAAATAAATAAATAAAATAAAATAAAAATAAAAAGGGGGGCTAGGGATATAGCTAAGTTGGTAGAATGCTTGCCTTGCATGCACAAGGCCCTGGGCTCAATCCCCGGCACCACAAAACAAAACAAAACAACAACAACAACAACAACAACAAAACGCTTGGAGAGTGCTAGATGCAGCAAAGACAGGATGAGGCAGCCTTCTCCATTAAGACACTCCCCTCCCCACACACTTACTCCAAGGGTGCTGATTTCTGGTTTAGAAAAACAGCACTGGGGAGGGTGCTCAAGGCAAGAGTGAGTGGAGGACGAGGTGCTCCAGCAAACACCTGTCCATGAATGTTCACAGCTGTGACTCCCAATACCCAAAGGTGAAAACAGCCCATGTCCACCAGCTGATGAATGGAGAAACTGAAGAGTATACCATACATAGATACTCCTCCAAGAAAAGAAAGGAAGAACTGATACATGCCACAATGTGAACGAACCTTGAAAATACGCTGAGAGAAGACAAACACAAAGGCCACCCATTGCATGATAGCATTTACGAAATGTCCAGAATAGATAAAAGGTAGACCAGGGCTGGGGGCAAAGAAATGAGGAACCAATGCTTAATGGGTAAGGGGTTTTCTTTGCTCCTTTAAAATTTTTCTATTTAATTGTGGTAAGAACACTTAGTATGAGAATCAACCCATTTAACAAATTTTTTCCTTGTAACAATTTTTAATGTGTAATACAGTATCATCAATTATGAGCACAATGTTATACAGCAGATCTCTAGGATGGATTGTCTTGCACAGCTGAAGTTTTATGCTCACAGCACAGCAACTCCCTACCTCTTCCTCCTCCAGCCTTGGCAACCACAACCCTCCAGTTCCATTAATCTGACTACTTTACAGACCTCAGAAGTGGAATCAAGCTAGAGCCAGACAGAGATTGTAGTTGCGCAACACTGTGTGTCTTAAATGCCATTCAACTGTACATTTCAAATGGTCAATCCTCTGCCCCCTTTAAAAATTTTTTTTTAAGTTATAGATGGGCAAAATACCTTTATTTTAAAAATTTATTTTCATGTGGTGCTGAGGATCAAACCCAGTGCCTTACACGTTAGGCAAGCGCTCTACCACTGAGCCACAAACTCAGCCCATCATGTGAATTTCACCTCCATTTTAAATAAAAGAAAAAGAAAAAAGGAAGACCATGCTTCCCTTCCAAAGAGAATGAGAAGAAGGTAGCTCCTGCACATGAGGGGGTGCAGCAGAACCAGGAATGAGAAAGCCAAGAGAACAGGTGAGCACCATGACAGGCTCAGTGGTCTTTTCTTATATTTCCTTCTTTTTTTTTCAATATTTATTTTTTAATTGTACACAATACCTTTATTTTGTTCATTTATTTTTATGTGATGCTGAGGATCAAACTCAGGGCCTCATATGTGCTAGGTGAGTGCTCTACTCAGAGCCACAACCCCAACCCTTTTCTTATATTTCTTTTATTTTTTTAAAATTTATTTATTAGTTGTAGTTGGACACAATACCTTTATTTATTTATTTTCATGTTATTTATTTATTTATTTATTTTTACATGATGCTGAGGATGGAACCCAGTGCCTCACACATGCTAGGTGAGCACCCTACTGCTGAGCCACAACCCCAGCCCCTATATTTCTTCTTCTTCTTCTTTTTTTTTTCTTATTAATATTTTTAGGGGCTGGGGTTGTGGCTCAGTGGTAGAGCACTTGCCTCACGTTTGTGAGGCACTGGGTTCAATTCTCAGCACCACATATAAATCAGTGAATAAAATAAAGGTCCATCAACAACTAAAAAGATATTAAAAATATTTTTAGATGTAAACAATACATTTATTTGTTTATTTAGTTTTTTAATGTGGTACTGGGGATCAAACTCAGTGTCTCATGTGTGCTAGGCAAGTGCTCTACCACTGAGCCACAAACCCACCTCCACTTTCTTATATTTTTGTAACATTCTATATGATGGAGACTCAAAAGTATCTGAGCCATAGTCTCAGGATTCAAGTAGTATAGCCAGGAAGGCTAAATGAGAAAATGAAATGTGCACCATGATGATCCTAGATAGCCTTTTGGTACACAGAGGCCCAGGTATAAGGGGTATGGAAGAAGTTACCCACTCAGGGTAGGGACTGTCCAGGGAGGGCTTTAGAGAAGGCCACAATGAAGTAAGCTGACAGGCAAAGGCTTGGGTGCAGTGTAGAGATTCCATGCAAAGGTGTGTTCTGAATAACAAAGGTGTGTTATTCGAACTGCAGGAATTCTGCTAAGTCAGGTGCAAAGAGATCCATGGGGCCGCAGGGGGAGGTGAGACAAAGTTCCCTAGGACAAACTTGCCAACCTGTGCCGTGCTGTGTGCCTGAATCTTGTCTACTTAACCAAGAAGCACTGGAGGTGCATCTTGATTCCAGGAGTTCTGGAAGCTCCTGGAGAATGGATTGAAGGAGTCTGAAGATGGAGAACCCACTCTGGAGACCAACATTGTGCAGCAGTGCACATGCTGACAAGGATTGAGCAAAGAGGGGTGTTTGTCACTAGAGAGGAACTCTGGGGGGCAAGCATCAGCACAGAAGCGATGAATGAGTCAGATGGGAGGTGTCAATCCATTAGGCATCTCTATAGGGACATGCTAATAGAGACCTCCTGGAGTCCAGATGTGGGGTGCAGAATAGAGAAAGCAAATGTGTGTTAAGATTAATATATGAAGGACAGGTGAAAGAGGCAATATAAGGTTGCCCATCAAGTGAGCAGACTATGCCTGGAGGGAGAGCTTGCAGCAGGATCACTTCTCGACACTCAAAGACTTTTGTTTTTGAGCCCTGTCAGTGATACAAACTGACATTCCACGTGCATGTTTTCCTGAGCCTCGTGATCTTACAAGCTAGCAAGGCACACAGTATTGTTCCCATTTTGTGAACAAGGACACAAGCCCAGAGAAGTCCCGCATCTTGCTTGTGAATGGTTGTGCTGGGACTGTGATTGCTTGGGTAGCCTCTTCTATTGCTGTTTGTGTCCTCTAATTATTTTGGTGGAAAGGGAAATACTAGGAAATCATAAAAATCAGGGTTTTTCATTCCCAGAAAGATCTATGATTTAAAGCCCCCATGAGGAACCCTGAGGAAAAAGCACAAAGTAGAACTGATTTGACACTTCAGTCTCTGAGCACAGGAATTGTGAGAGAAATCACTTGGCTTCTCAGACTCTAGGACAACCTAAGGTCATTTTCTCTGTTGACATCTGGCTAACCTGAGGGCCCACCAGAAAGGACAGTGAACAGAGAAATGAGCAGGCTCAAAGCCTAGCTTCCAGAGAGGATGGAAGCATCCACAGACATTCTTGGCCATTTCTTCCCTCCTGTGTCTTGGGCATCTCACCCCTGAAATGGGTGACATAAATGATATCCTTGACATGATTACAGCTCTCCCTGCCCCTTCACATGCTTCTCCCTCCAGACTTGGGGTGAGTTCCTTGGAGTGTGGCAACACCATGATCCTGAAGCAGATTCCCCTTGCATTTTCCCTACTCAAGGGTGATTCAGCTCTGAGCGCAAAGGGCAAGGTAGACTTTTCTAGGTCCCAAACAGCTCCCCATAAGGGCTATGGTCATTTTCCCTCTGCATGTGCTCTAGGAGGACCCTTGTGGCCCCCAGAAGCAACGATATGGGTGGGGTAGAGGAGGAAGGCATGCCGATACAGCTTAGGGGCTTTCTTCTTCAACAGGAATGAATTTGACTCTTCTCCCTCTTTACACTAGGGGAAGGGTGGTTCACTTTCTTATTCTAGGCTGAAAGGCCAATAATCCAAGGGCTCAGACTTGAGCATCTGCAGATTCAATGCAGCCTTTTCCTGGCCATTTCACAAAGCAGTTTTATATACCTTACCAGCCAGCCTGGGTCTGTCACACTGGTGGGAAGAAGTACAGTGTGCAGCTGCCCTGCCGGGCTGGCGCATGGCAGAAAGCACATTTCACTGGGACTAGGTTACAAAAGGCTACCTGGAGGTTCCTGGGGGTGAGGAAGAGGTGAGAGGCTTGGAATCTGACTGCCCGGGGAAGCCAGCAGTGCCCACACCTAGTACAGTGCCTAGGGAGTAGCATTCTTGCATGGCAGAAGGTAGGAGGAACACAGATCTGCAAGAGGTCTGCGTGGGCTGAGTAAGACTTCCTGTCCCAATCCCTGGGGCTCTGGGAATCAGCAGCCCCCAGGTGTCCCTGGGTTTATAGCAAGGACCAAAAAGGCTGAAGCAGAAGCCTGGTGTTCAACCGGTTCCCACTCGACTTCCATACCCATCTGACAGGAACCTGCGGCCCACAGCCACATGCTGAGGCCACACTGCAGATGGACTCAAGTGCCAAGGACTTGGCATGCCCAGGACCCAGGAGGAGGGGCTCAACAAATGCTGGATGATGAGAACACAGGAGCAAAGCTGAGCTTTCTGCCTTCGGGTTCTGCCTTTTAATTACCATCTCTCAAGCTGTTCTCAACCTTCTTGATACCATGTACAAAGCAACCAATGTCACTGGCCTGGCTGGGGTGGTATACTGGATGGTGCCAGTGTCTGTTCTTGCAACCCGACCAGTGAACCAAGTAATAATGGAGGGCAAAGCTCTCTGGAAACCAAGTGGGAGGTGTGATGCCTGTGGCGGACTGGGGTGGAGGTGATGGCATACTTCTCTCTCGCTGAGATCAGGGGCAGCATTTCTGGCAGCT